CTGTAGATTGGTCTGTGAATGTTTAGAGATGGTTGTGGGCTGCGGGCTAAGGGAAGAGGGTGAGGTGCTATGGGCTGGTTTATCATTTTCCTTAGGCCCAATGTAGTGGTTTGAGGTTTGGTCCAGAGAAAGTCCCTTTAGCTCAGGATTGACCACATTGCCAAACCCTATCATTTGCATCTGTGAATGCAAGGACAGAGGAGCATGTTGACCAGCCGACGATGGAAGTGAGGTGGCATGGATCGTCTTCTCCGGCAAGACAATTTCCAGCGGCGGCGGACAATTTCCAACGGTGGGGTTCATCTTCTCCGTCGAGCCGTGCTTCGGTGACTGTGGGTGCGACCCGAAAATGAGCTGCGGTTCGATGGGCCCGTCGATCTGAGATTTCATATTAGGATTTATATCCATTTTTCTTTGACTTTGATGCTAAGAGGGTTGTGCGATCATCTTCTTCGCCTTGACCTCCGGCGATTGAGCCTCGCCCCGGTTTTTATGAAGCTCTTCTACGCTCGAATTTCAGGCTGTGAAATGAAACATTCCAAATCTGAATCTTGGATCGGAGGACGAACTTGTCTGTTGGCCGGATTAACTGCCTGAGGAGACATGGCTGAACGAAGAAAAGAAACACGGACTAAAGAAAATGGATTAAAAAAAACAATAGGAAAAAAACAAATAAAGCCGAGGAGGCCGCCGGATGGGCTAGGTGGTGGTAGGTGCTGGGGGAGGAGGGGTGGTGGTGAAGGGTGAAAAATCCTAGAGAGAGAAACCTAGAGAGAAGGGAGAGCATTTTTTTTTTTGCTGCTAGGTTAGTTGTCTGATGTGCTAGGTTAGTTGTATGCTAGGTTAGTTGTGCTAGGTTAGTTGTATGCTAGGTTAGTTGTCTTTTGTTGCTAGGTTATTTCTTGCTGCTAGGTTAGTTGTCTGATGTGCTAGGTTAGTTGTCTTTTGTTGCTAGGTTATTTCTTGCTGCTAGGTTAGTTGTCTGATGTGCTAGGTTAGTTGTCTTTTGTTGCTAGGTTATTTCTTTCTTGCTATTAGATTAGTTGTCTGATGTGCTAGGTTAGTTGTATGCTAGGTTAGTTGTCTTTTGTTGCTAGGTTATTTCTTTCTTGCTATTAGATTAGTTGTCTTTTATTGCTAGGTTTTTTATTTTTTTAGGTTATTTCTTTCTTGCTATTGAATTAGTTGTCTTTTATTGCTAGGTTTTTTTATTTATTTTTTTTGTTTATAAAAATGTTGTAACCCATAGGATTTGAACCTGGTACCTCATGGAAGCAAGACAAGCAATGCAACCACTACACCACTTAAGGTTGAGTGTCTTTTATTGCTAGGTTATTTATTTCTTGCTGTTAGGTTATTTGTCAACGGGTCAACGCCGAAAGTCAACGATTTTCGCCGGAAGTCAATACCGGAAGTCAACAGTCAACGCCGGAGTCAATTAATAATTATTTTATTATTTAATTAATATATATTTTAATTGATTTTGATCTAGACAAAATGAGTGGCTAAGATTGAGTCTCACGTACTCATTTTAAGAAATTGTCTCATTGAATCCATCCCCTATATATATATATATATAAAAGATACTAGTACATTATTACTCGTGCACATGCATGGATGAGATCAATTTGATACTAAGCTTTAAATAAAGTTTAAAAACAATGTCGAAAAAAATTGAATTCTTAAATATTATGAAAATTATTATTATTTACATTATATATTTGTTGGTTCGTCTTTCCTCTATAACAATATAATTGTTTTATTTTATAATTGGTCATTTGTAAAATTACCAGTATAATTGGTTATGCATGGTCGAAGTTTTATTTATCATTACATTACATATTAAACTAATATATTAATAACGCACAACTTAATAATCATGAGACTCATGACTCACTATACATTGAAATAATCGGTTTCATGCACACAACTGCTTGTACGCAGCAATTATATGAAAATTTTCTTGTTAACTTACATTGATTTTTTTTTTTTAGTTAAAAGGAATATAAAAAAATGAAAAAATGGGGGGAGGGAAAAGAAAGCGAATTCCCAAGTGAAAATTTCGAACTAAGAACTTATGCGCAGTCCACACTATAAACCCTCTTCTCATTCCTTCCTTCCAATCTCACGACAAGAAAACAAAATTCCCTAAAAATGTCGGACTATCTTCCTCAGGAAGTATGGGCCAACGTTTTCCTCCGGCTCCCCGTCAAGACGCTCATCGGAATCCAGTCGGTCTGTAAGTATTTCGACCACATCATCCGCAGCCCCTCTTTCATCTCCGACCACCTCGCAATCTCCAAGCAAAATCAAATCCCTCTCGTTCGATACCTTAGGGGCAGAGAAAAATCCAAGCGCAAAGAGCACTACGCGCTCATACCCAATAACCTTGAATACCTCGAAGACATTCGAGAAATCGATTTCCCATTTAGGTCTGAATGCTACAAACATTTCAATGTAATCGGAGCCTGCAACGGGTTGATCTGTTTGTCCGATGAGAGTTACTGTCGCGCTCGTGGGATTATACTGTGGAACCCGTCAATCAAAAGGTACTTAGCACTCCCCAAACCTCAATTCTCTCTCAAATCCCTCGAGGGGTTTCATTTCACGCATGTGGTCGGTTTCGGATATGACTGCGGGTCAGACGACTACAAGGTGTTGAGGATTACATATGTGGATGTTATCAGAATCGGGAAAAAGCGGCGTGTCGACCCGCCTAAGCCGGGTCCCGTGGTTGAGATGTTCACGGTCAAGTCGGGGTCTTGGAGGAATTTAAATATAGATGAGCTAACTTGTCCTCATCATTTTTATGGTACCAATCAGGCTTTCGTGCGGGGATGCTTGCATTTTCTGAACGGGTCATCTTCGATTGGTTGTTTTGATTTGAGAAATGAGGTGTTTAATGGCGGGATAGGCTTACCCGAGGGTGTATACGGGTGGAATTCTCACTTGGCGGTGCTCGGGGAAAAGCTTGCCATTGTAGAGGATGATCACAAGCCGGTTAAGGGGATTGCTAATGTGTGGGCCATGGAGGAGTATGGGGAGGTGGGGTCGTGGAGGAAGCTGTACAATGTTGATACATTGCCGGGATTTTTCTTCTTCGTGGGGTTCACGGACAATGGGAACATAATGGGCACCTTCGACCGTAACAAGCTTTATTGTTATGATCCGGACAAGGATTTCTTGAACAATCTGTGCATTCGTGGGGCTGTGGACTCGTTCCACGTGGAGATGTATGTGGAGAGTTTGGTTCTAGTTGATGGGGAGAGTGCGGTTCCCAGGTCTGAGGCTATTACCTTGGAAGGTGAAGATTGGTGAGAATTTTGGGGCGAGTGTAGTAGTGTGTTTAGTCCGGTATTCTTCGTAGGTCTTGATTGTTGTTAGTTTTTTGGATCATCCCCTGTGAGTCTTTTATGCTATCTCTGTTTTTGGCTTTTGGACCAGAAAAATGTTTTGCGGTTTGTTAATTTTCTGCTGACTTGGAGCATCGCAGTGTGCCCGTGATGAATGCCCAGAATCTTGTCAATAACGAAATGGCTAGATTTCAGGTAAATGCGTGTGTGTGTGAGTTTTAGTATTTTTTTCAAAATGAATCTTTAGAATTGTGGGTTGGGTTTGATGATTGAGATGTTGGCTCTTATAAGCTGAAGTAAGTTGTTTCTCATGATCTCTTTTTTATGCTGGTGGTGAAACTTGATTTGGAACAGTTTTAGGCTTTACGGTCAGATGCAGTCTGTGGGTGATTGCTGAAAAATAAACTACTGCTACTGGTGCATTGTATCTATGGACAATTCTTAAAGATGCTTTCAAGTTATTCTTAGCAGTGAAGCACTGTTTGTAGTTATGAGGTGCTATGCTCATGCTTCCCATTCAAGTGACTGATATTTTAGTAGCAGAATTTGTTTATGGAGACGGAAGTCCGTTTCATTCTCCGATTAGGGTGTATGTGTACGATATGGCGTCCAAATTCACCTACATTTTGCTCAGGCTGTTCCACACTAGACAGCTAATCTCATGTTGACATGCATGCACACACCACGTCCTGTTCTGCTACACATATCCTTTCAATCTCATTTTCTGCCAAAAGAAACTGTTGTTCATGTTGTTCCTATCCTTTCAATCTCATTTTATTTATCAAGGTATTTTTATAAAAGAAACAATAAATATATTAACTAGTTGATAAGTTGTTATAAGCTTAAAACTAATTTATCGACTAGTATCAATTAACTTCACATTTTCTAGTTAAATCTACCGCAACTTACCATAAATATTTGTTGAATCGTCAGACTGTTCAATCTACGGTCAAAATAGTTTTATTTAAGTCAGTTTATAGTTAACGAATACTAGCCATTGAGTAAACAAAAATTAATTAATTTTTTATATATAAGATTTGCTAATGAATAAAGATTAATTAAATGTCTAATATAGACGAAAAACAATTTCTCGCTAACCATGTCAATTATGGCAATATCATTGGTCTATTATATAGGTAAAGATTCCATTGACTTAAAAAATAAGAATAATATTAATTAATATTTATTTTATCAATTAAGTAAGATAAATTTTAATCAACTATGCAATTAGAATTGCAAATGAGTCGAGCCGAACGTTGGTTTGGCTTGACTTGAAAAAAAAACAAGCAAACGCTCGAGTTCGACTCAAAAAGTATAATTAAAATTTTGTCTAATTATGAGTATTTAAGTAATTTTACATATGTTTGAGCAGCTAGTCAAAGGTTCAAGCTGACAAAGTACAAACTACAGGCTCAAGCTCAAGTTGAGCGTTGAATCTAGCGTTAGCGAGTTGCTCGACTCGTCTGATATCATTTATACATTATTATTATTCTTATTATTATTTCAATTCATAACTGAATAAGATAAAGTCTTAACCCATCTACTAAAGCAGGGGATAAATACACAACAAAACCTCCAACAAAAAAAAGGCCAACAAAAACACAACTGGCCAAACTATACAAAAACACCTATACATAGCAACTATACCACAACAGAAAGATTGGTCAACATGTCCTCTTGCTCCCAACTCAAGGGACCAGAGGCATACAAACCTCCCAGCGTGATACGGTAAGCCTGCAATTCCAACTCACGTACACTAAGAAACGAAACCAATCCAAAAAACTCCATGGTTACATATAGTCGAAAAGGCTGAATAGTTGAAAAAAAATAAAAGTAGAGAAAACAATCACATACCTTTCCTATTAGAACCCACCGCCACTGGTCATCATGCCATGTTCGTTTTTCCTGATTTTCAAGCTATCAATAACTAAATCCTGCCAGCACTCAAATATCCTCACTAGATATAATAAACAATCAAGCCCTCCTGGAAACAAGAAACAATCGAATAGAAACAGACAAATTCAATCTTGTATTGGTTTCATATACATTCCTAGAATTTTACACACCAGTTGAAACATATCAGTAGCTACAAAATCACCACAATTGGATCACTCTAAAGTCGAGTGGAAGCTTATTCACCACAATTACATATTCACCACTTTGAGTTTTGGTTAAGTCATAGTATGAGGCATTAACGGCTGGATATCCACACATGAAATATTTCCAATAGCAGCATGAAATTATCAAAAGAGTCAACAAAATCGATGAGTTTTATTTATTCTAGTTATGTCAAGAGTCACTAAAAATGAGAAAAAAGGACGAGGCCACCTACTCGGATGGTGGACGGCAGCAAGCAGCTTCTATGGGGATTAATTTTGCCATTATATAATGCTTCAGAGTCTTAATTTGATAGGTGAGAGCATATACGAGATTCCATCAAAGAAACAACAATTGCAAAAACACATAAACAACACTTAATAACCATAGGAGCTAAAAAATGTTGTGGGAACTCTTCAAATGCTCAGTGTTGAGCTGGATGTGAGATAAAGTGGAAAATACCATAATTCTCATTTGCCTGTCAACAGTGATTAACTCAATCTGTACACCACCAACACTGCATAGGACAAGAATGGCACCATCAAGTACACGCAAAGGTCTCTCAACTTCAATAGTAAAATGTATGTGGCCTGGTATGCCGGTTATATTAACCTGAAATTGCAGTAATACAGTAGACAGATACACCATTTTTTTCCATTATATTGCTAACATAATTTCTTTATCACTTTCTCAGAAACAATTGAAAAGCAAAGAAAAAATAACCGCTTCTGGACTTCTTCAACCAAGAAGAAACTGAATCGCTTGGCTAATCCACTTCACGAGGTCATAGCTTAAACCAGGGTTTTAGAAGTAAAATCATTGATGGCAAAACAAGTTACATCAATTGTAGCCTATCTAAACTAGTCCGAGTTAACCATAACATAATATAGATGTCAGATAAATCAACATTTTTGGCATAATTCACACGTAATCCAAATCAAACATCACTTGACTATAGTTATCTAATGAAACCACGTACCAAAACTAAAATATCGAAATACCGAGTCTGAGAAAAAGAAAAAAGATGACTTTTTTTCGCACCAGAAAAGAACTTGAGCGGGTTGTAAGTAAACCGAATGTGAAAAGGAGTAAAACCTGAAGGATAGTACGTGGCATCACTGTATGGTAGTCCCTTCCTCTCTTCCCCTGAAATTCCCAATAATGAACATCAGAAGTTGTCCCATGCCAACCTAACTTAAACATATGCGCATCTATGTACCTTCAAAAGCTAACATAACAATTTCACCCATAATCCATCACTCTCCATTTTTCCCCAAAAACATCAACAAACAACACAACTTAGCTCAACAAATTCATCAAACACAATGCAAACAAACACCCAATTCAATCCCCTCCCACTTACCAGTCTCCTCATCCACACGCAATTTCCAGCATTCGCACCTCTGAGACGTCAGCGTTGCATCCTGTGTTGTGCTCGATCACCGGCTTCCTATTCCAATCCATTTTAGCCTCGGATTATAATGCAAAATCCTCAGAGGATCCTCGTCCTCCACCATCTTCAACCCTTGCAACTCCATCGTAAATTGCGAAACCATCGGGTAGTGGAAACAAAAAGCCAAACGTACAGAAAATAAAACAAAAGAGTTACTTGGATCATGGGCTTGCCGAGAATTTGAACCAGATGCTTGCCTTGTGAAACTTATATTTGTCACGGAGTGCGCTAATTGTAGTACGAACTAAAATAAGAATTGTAAAATGCGGAAGCAAACAACCGAAGATTAATAAACTCTTCAGGGAAGCGTCTCACTTCCCCTCAGAGCTCTTTCATTGATAGATCACTCGTATACATAGTTTGGACTTACAAAGATTCAAACTCCCTTCAAATCTAGCCAACACTACTTGATCCTATCAACTAATTCTCCGGCCACGTCCCGTGGACTTATAAACCTACACTTATTCCCTAAGTGTACAAACCATAAAATAGTTTTGATGAAATGTATAAAGAACCAAACGAAAGCAGTACTAGTCCTTGAGTTTGTAAGAACTCTCAGACTGAACTGAATACAATCAAACTAGAACTGAAAGCGAATGAAGCTTGAATGGCTCTCGAATAATTCTCTGTAAAAATCCACACGCCATAAGCTTCTTCTAGGGTATTTATATGAACTCCTTAGGGTTGGAGTCTTCTACAAGGCATAGGACTTCAAACAAGATTTCCTTCCAAGATAATGGCATATCTTTGGTAAGAAATCTTTTCTTCTCTCTCATTAATCTCCTCTCCAAGCATGCCTCTTTTCTCCCTCTTCTTTGTCTCTCCACGCGCAATTTCCTATCATATCAAAACCGTAATAAGATCTACACGAACTTATATAAGGAATATAAAACAATATTACTTAAGGAAATATAGTATACAAAGATCTTCCCTTTTATTCTGTGGTTCCAGATGCTTGTTCGAACTAATCGAACTAATGCCAAAATAAAATATCTTTCAATCTCCCCCTTTGGCATCTAGTTCGAAAACATCAGACTTGAAAGTCTCCTACAGCAATAAGAACAACAAGCACCCACATATAAAAGCAAGTAAGGATTAGTTCAATACATCACAAGTTCTCCTTAAAGCAGTTCTCCCCCTTAGTTCCTGCAGTCATCAAAATTCAACAGAATGCTTCTAAATTCATTTCAACCATAGACAGTAAGGACAACAAAACAACTGCATTAATCCCATAAAACAAACTTAGTAGCAAACAGCAAATAACCAACCACATAAAAAGCTTCCCTACAACACTCAAAACACACAAAGAAACAAAAACTACTCCAAGCTAACTACTCCTCATCTCCAAGCTTTTCAGTGGCATCATCAGACTCTTCATCCTCTTTCTCAACGCTCTTACTAGCAGCAGAAACCTTCTCCCCCTTTTTCGAACTACGGGATGCCGAAGGGCCTGTCCCCGAGTTCCGAGTTGATCCCTTGACGGCCTGCAGCACTTGGCGAAGATACGCCTGTTGAGCAGCAACCTTCTTGGCCAAATCATCCCATTCTCCAAGTTGCTGAGCCACAAACTCACCCCAATTCTTCGGAACCAAGGAAGGAGCGAGTTCCTTCGTGACCTTGGAAATCCCTTTTTCATTCAAAGTACGAGCACTAACAGAGAGTGCTTTCCTGGGATTCTCAAGAGAGTCTTGGAAGCGAAGGTTAACAGAGAAATTATGAGCAGACAAGAAGGACCAAATGAGACAGGGGAAGGGAAGAGTTTTGCGGGACTCAATGTTAGCAACAAAGGATTGAAGAATTTGAAAGACAAGATCCCCAAAGCTGAAAACTTTCCCAATCATGACCCAATAAATGACTTTGCACTGCAGCTCGGTAAGCAAGGTTTTATTTGAAGTGGGGGTCCAGTTCCCAGCACCAATTTTATGCAGCAAATTGGCACCTAAGCAAAGAGAATTCACAGAAAGGTTAGAACCAGGCCAAGTATCCAACTGACCAGAAGTAAGAACTTTGGTCATTTCATCCGAATCAAGATCAATAAGAGAAGAGCTATCAAGATCAGAGGGCAAACCAAGATGGGCATTAAACAAAGCAGGAGACACATCAATCACACGGTTGCGAAGAAAAAGTTTATGAAAACGAGGGCTATCAGGGTAAAAAACAGCAGGAGTGAGGTTAGCATAGAATTCTTTGACAGCTTGGCCACAAAAGGGCTTAACATCAGACACGGTCTTCGAAAGACCCACTTGCTCAATCAGACGAAGAACACCGAGTTCAGCAAACTTACCATCAGTCACAGGATGTTCCGACCAGAACTCATAAGACCCAAAATTAACAAAGCGTTCGTGCGCCGCTTCTGTATAGAACCGATTGGTGAAGGTATTCTCCAGATCATACGCATCATCTTCAGGTTCAGGAGGGACAAGGGGCTCGTCAATGGCCTTCCCACGTCGACGGGTGGAACGACGAACTGGAACCTTCGAAGGTGGTGATGGCTGGTCAGAATGGACTTCAACAGTGGTAGCCGCCGTATCATCTTTTTCCCTTTCGGCAGTAGTCGTCTTGGTGACCGACTTAGTTGCAGAAGTGGGAACAGCAGATGACTCCCCCTGAGTCGAGACGGCGAGTGAATCAACACGTCCAGAAAGTCCAGGAACTCCAGTGGCAAGTGGTGAAACTTCAAGATTCTTGCGAACATTGTCAGATTTAGACTGAGAGCCAGATGAAGAAGAGGCTAGTGAAGCCGATTTTGACTGCGAAGATTCAGGAGTCGGTTCTTTCGCTGGTGGCGAAGGTTCACGAGCAGATCCAGTGGACAAGGAAAGTCGACGACGCTTAAGTCGCTTCTCTTTCTGCTTCTGAAGTCGTCGCTTGGCTTTGTCTTTGCCGCCAGCCATGGGAGAAGAATGAGGATTGAGAGAGGAAATTTAGGGTTTCAATCGGTGAGGGTGAATCGAGAAGGAGAGAGACAAAAGAAAGAACCAATAAACTATAATAAAATAAGAGGAAACGTGTATGGTGAGCAGTTGAGAGACGTTGGATCTTAGAAAACCGCAAAAGGTAGGTTCCGAAAATCAAGGTGGTAATGAGAGCGGTTTTAGGAGAGAGAGAGAGAGGGAAAATTCAAAAGAGGTTAGTGAAATTAATCCCTTCAACAATCCAAAATCAAACATACCATAACTTCCCACATCAATAACGGCTCACATTATTTTGAAATTTAGGAAGGAAATCAGATTTTATCCATGAATACGTCCTGCACAATCACTTGGATCACGTTCAAAAAGGAAATCATATGCAAACATGCCTAATTATGAAAAGGAATAAAAATCGCACACAAAATTCACTAAAATCATAAGATCTTTTCTTTTCCAACTTAGACAAGAATGACGGCAACAATCATAGACCAACTTTGAGATTCAAACCTTCCGAGGAACATAGATTAAACGGATATATGTATATACACAGAGTAGTGCGAACCACGACTTCCAATATTTTTTTTTTCGAAAGAACACATGCGTTATTATTTATAGTGCATTTCACTTAGTAACAATCACTGCAATAGTGAAAGTCGACCCCACTACTTTGCACTACAATTTTCAGCAAGGATCCCAATTTTTTTTTTTTTTTTTTTTTTTTTTATAAGTAAAACGCACTACGGTTTTTATGAGGGTGACCACCTTATAACTTCGCATAAGAACACCACATAGTAATATGCAGTGTGTGTCACTAGCTTACGCCCTTCTCAACATTTTCTGTCCAAGACGCTCTTTTCACAGTCGATCCCGCTTTGGGAAACGAGCCATGTGCTAGCTATCGCTCTAGATCATTTATGAGAAGGCAGCTCTTTGTGACAAAAGAAAACAAAAATACTAAAAGTAACTATGTTCCTCAATCCAATAAGAACTCGCAGTCAGCCTAGAACTGCTAACATCACTCAGGTTTTCAGAAAGGATCAGAACGTCAATTAAGAATTTAGTGGTGAAGTAAATGCATAATGCAAGAACATGCCTAATGCCATATACCCTATATGCTTACACACAATGTAAATATAATAGATACTAGTATACAATACAATATAATATAATGCAAATACACGCAAGCACTCAGTATGAACAGATCCCTAAGGATTTCCTTAGAGAAGTGAACCTTTGAGAATCCAGCGCTTTAGTGAATATGTCAGTCAGCTGGTTTTGAGTAGGAACATGCTCAAGAACAATCACATCATTCTCAACCAAATCTCTAATAAAGTGATACCGGATATCAATGTTTAGTTCGAGAATGTTGAACCGGATTTTTAGAGATATTAATTGCACTGGTATTGTCACAAAAAAGGTTCACGGTTCTTACCTCCAGTCCAAACTCAATCATCATTTGCTTCATCCACATAAGCTGGGAACAACAACTCCCAGCGGAGATATATTCGGCTTCAGCGGTCGAGAGTGCCACACAATTTTGCTTCTTACTAAGCCAGGAGATAAGGTTGTTCCCTATATAGAAACAGCCACCAGAGGTACTACGCCGATCATCGACGTTTCCAGCCCAATCCGCATCACTATAACCTGCAAGACTAGAAGATGTGTCACGCGAGTACAAAATACCTAAGTCAGATGTACCATGAACATACTTAATAATATGCTTTACCGCCTTTAAATGCGATTCCTTAGGATTTGCTTGGTACCGGGCACACATTCCAACACTGAAGCACAAGTCAGGCCTACTAGCCGTCAAGTAAAGTAAGCTACCTATCATGCTTCTATAAAGTGTAGAATCAACAGAGATTCCAGCATCATCCCTAGAAAGCTTAGAATGGCTTCCCATGGGAGTAGCTGGACACTTAGAATTTTCTAACCCAAACTTTTTCACAAGATTTTTAGCATATTTGGTCTGATGAAGAAAAATCCCCTCCTTGGATTGCTTAACTTGCAATCCTAAGAAATAGGACATTTCCCCGACCATACTCATCTCAAACTCACTAGACATGTGACTTACAAATTCATTTACCCAAGTTCTCGAG